AATGCACTGCATAAGATATCATCAAATGGTCTGAAAACTAAATGTCACATTGGCCCCACAGCCTATGTCTGAGCTTTCACACATCTGCCCACTCATGACATGGAGAGGTAAAGGTTTGGCCAGACAGTTCATGGTGGGCATGGCTTTTACTGAGCATTCCGTTTTTGCCACACACAGTGTTATTTTTATATATCAAAGTGTTTATTTTGCTGAACTACTAAAATGGGTTTTTTCTCCTCTTTTTGCAGGTAAACAAATTGAGGCTTAAATGAGATAAGTGACTTGTCCAAAGATTCCTGACTTACATCAGTGAATTCATGATTCGGACTCACTCTGACTCCAAAGACCAAGATGACAGAAAGAGAAATATGTGCTGAAATTCTCATGTGTACCCATTCCAATCCTTCCACACTTAACATAGCCAAAGTGTGTCAACTAGAGGTTCTGTTTTCATAATCCCACTGAGACTGCAAATTCCTTGAAAAGACTGAGTTTTCTATTTTGTGTTCTTCAAAGTACCTAGTTCCGCAATTCGCACAAACAGGCAATAAATATATATACACACATTAATAAGCCTAAAAGAGGAGAATAAAATTGGTAATTTTCAAGTCAGTTAAGAAATGAGCCTATTTTTAAAAAATGAGAATTTGTGTTCCTCATTTCTCAGAGTATGGATCATTTTTAAAGGACAAATTCCAGGCCTATTTCAAGCTCGAAAGGAAGGGGGTATCACAGTCAGGTTAATTACCTTTAGAAATAACTACACTGGAAATGAGGAGGGAAGTGGAAGTCACCTACAGCATCCTAAATGTGTCAGTGAGCAGCGATTCCCACAAAGCTCCAGCATAAATCAAGCTTGGCTTCCCAAACCCCCAGATTCATACAACTACAAGGCTTGTCCCTTTAATCCTTTCATGCTCCCCCTGGGGCTTATAAACATCTGCGAGTGACTGGAGGGTCAGAGTCACTGAAGCTCAGCCCTGCGGCCCACGGGAGCAGAAGAAGGCTGTGTGCATCAGGAGTGAGCCACAAAATGCTTTAAGCAAAGACCTTAGGGCAGAAATGCCAGAGATCAAGGTGCCAGAACATTTTGGGATTCCAATCAGCTTGGAAAAGGAAGCGTTCTGACAGCACAGCCTCAGAGAAAGTACAGCCTTAAGAGCCAGGCTGTTTTCCTCCAGAAAGGGGTGTGCTCTCCACTGCCCCGTTTTGAGACGTGTGTCCCACATAGGTGCACACAGGCCCAGCTACTCTGACTGTACTTGGATCACTCTCTCTGTCCTTATCCATGTACACGGTTGCATTTCTCCTAGCAGGCCTGACTTCCTGCCTGCTATCTCCTTTCTTGTGGCTGTGTATATAGCCCCAGATAGTAGGAGAACAATTAACAGCAATCCATTATGAATATTAAGGTTGTCTACTAATAATTCAACAATACTTGTCACTCAGATTTTCAGTTTTTTTGATTTATATACACTAATAGAATGTGTTATGTTTTAAAATACATTCCTACAAAAAAAGATGTCTTCCTTTTAGTATTTTTCTGGGACCATTTCTTACTACAGTCTGTGGCCAAAGGCAGTGCCCAGTTTCTGCATGTTGCAATGGCTCCTGGACCTGTGTCCCATCCAGCAGCCTCAGAGCCGGAAGCAGTGCACATCTGTGCTCATTGCCTGGGAATGGGAAGGCCAACACTGAGCTCAGATTTCTCCCGCTGATATGCAAAACACTGCCACAAGCAGCCTGGCACTGTGTCGGCTGTTTTAAAACTGAAAATTATTTGTTTCTAACTCTAGTTACCATCTGTTTATAATCTATGCTACTATCCATGTGCCAACCTGAAACTACCGTGGTAGACTTTGGGGCACCCTGCATTTTTATGACAGACCCTCTATCAGAGCCTCAGAATGGTTTGAATCACCAACAGCCATTGTCCTGAATTGTTTCTCATAACCAACTGTTCCAACATAGCCAACTTTTTTAAAGGGCTAGAGTTCTGTGCCCCTTCCAGAGTTCCATGGTGAGAAGCAAGAAAGATCAGAAGATAAAATGTAAGGACTTAACAAACACACAGAATTGATTAAAACTTTCTGACTGTAACTTGGAAGCTTAAAAAAAAGCTGTGTGCTAGCACAGAAAGAAAATAGAAACAATAAAATAGAATGTACTTAATATTTTTTGATAACAATGATATAGCAACAAAGAAAAACCTTCCTGAAGAAGCAATAAAACCTATGAAAATTTTAAAACATTGGAGAATAGAAAATATTTTACAACACTATCTCCAAGAGGAAATGAGATGCTATGCAATATAATAACGACATTTGTGAGACATCAATAAAGTAGATCTAGTTTTAAAGCAGGATTCAAATCCAAATATTCAATTCTGGTAGTGGGCATCTTTGAGCCACAGCAGACATTTTTGAAATTTAATGTCCACATAGATAAAGGGTCCTTGTTGCCTTTCCTGTTGTTCATACTTCTTACTGATTTTGCTTACCAAGATAATGGTCACAATATGAGTTTTTTGTTTTAGCTAGGGATCTTTAGATGGAACCAATGGGATATATAAATAGATATATAAGAAAGGAATTAGATAGTTTGGTTATGGCAGCAGAGAAGTCCTATAGCAGGGAGTTTGCAAGGTCAAGAAGAAAGGAAGCTGGCAGCATGGTTCAGCCCAAGGCTCAAGAGTCCAGAACAAGGAAGCTGATGATGTAATCCTCAGTGTGAAGGCCTCAGAATCCTGAGTTTTAACTGGTGCGAATCTTGGAGTTCAAAGGCTGGGGAAGCTGGAGTTCTAATATCCAAAAGCAGGAAAAGCAGGACAGCCTGGCTCTGTAAGAGACAGCAAGAAGCCATCTTTCCCCCACCTTTTCAGTGGGTGGCTGCCTGCACTGAAGGCAGCTCTTCCTGCTTAGTCACATGCTGATCTCCCCTGGAAACATCTTCATGGACACACTGGGGCAGTTCAAGCATTCTAGTCAAATGCCAGACCACCCAGGTTTCCCTCTCAACAGGAGAGGGATGAGTTTGGTGCACGCTGAAGCATTGAGGGTAATTTACGTTTTATTAGCTATTTGCATGTCTCTTCATTTAGTCAACACCTCAAATCAATCACCATAGTCTGGCATAATGCAGGTGGGGACCTTAGTAGCCTAGATATGATGGCACAGGTTTGAGATTTTAAAGAAGTGTAATGTCAGGGATGTAGCTCCGCACTACAGGGTCTGCCTGGCAAGTATAAAGTCCTGAGGTCAATTCCTGGTACCCCCCACCAAAATAAATCAACAACAATAATAATTTTTATTTAAAAAAAAAAGATCATGGAGAAATGCTCTTTTCTTCCAGAAGTGAATTGAAAAGGATATAGCACCAATTGTTACACCATACTACCAAGAAGATAATTCATTTCAAGTTGAACTGTTCTTTATGGCTATATTTGAAGACAGAAAGAACCTAAGATATTGATGAAATAACTAAGGGAGTCAATAGAATTTGAAGTTTATCTTGCCCCTGGACTTAATTTCACACGAACTCTGAAATATCCTCACCATCTGAATACCTACTACTATCTACCATAGGAGACTGCCTCGGAGAGGAAAAGGAGAACCAATCAGAACACTTAGAGATGATCTCAGGATTTGATGGAGTCCTTAATGAAGTCTTTTCATAGCTAAGAAAGGCAAAGTCCAGCAAAGCTAAGAAACTTGACTTAGGTTACATTTAGCACTTGATAAGGCTGGAAATTGTACTTGGAAGTGTTTGACACCAAAGTTCAGGTGCTTTCCTGAATAGAACAGAATAGAAATCTTGGCCAGTAGTGCAAGGTATGCAGGTCACATGTAAAAGTGAGGCGAGGAATCACGAGAGGATAAAGTCTAATATGTGTTTGGTTGTCAGAGCAGCAAGAGTGTGGCAGCAAGGAGCTTGTACACTGGTCAGGACAGTCCCTTGTGTTCCTAGGCCAGAGTGGAAGGAGAAGGGAAAGACTGACTCACAGGCCAAAGGCCTGCACAGTTGACCCGGAGGTAAAGGGTGAAAGCATTGCTTTGCGATTCTGCCTGGTAGTGTATGTGAGGCTAACCGTACAACTTGCCTGCCTGGTCAGGACAGCTCAGCCACCAGAGGGGACGTATCACAACCTCTCAAATGAAAATCTTGAGAAGACAGAGGTAGTAAAAAATAAGTAAATAAATAAAATCAAGGAAATAAAACAGGGAGAGGAAAAAGCCACAGATACTAAGAACATGATCATCATAAATACAACAAAATGAGTTCATCTAGAAGGATCAGCTCTCTTGTCAATACTATACTAGATTTTAGTATCCCTGCCCAGTGAATTAAAAATTATTAGCATATGCTTGCTCTATACAATAAGGAATTTATCTCAATGTCTGATGAACTTTTATGCGTAAAATAATATTTTTCAAAAAGTGGTTACCAATCCTTCTTGAGGTCTTGCTTGAAATTTACATTCACATCTGAAAACTCAAATTTCAGTGTTACCTGACTGCATCTCCTAATTATGTGTGTTCCAAAGCTAGCACACATCCCAAGTGTTTCGCCTGGTTCTGCGGGCCCTTTTCCACTATCTATCTAAGACATTTTCTTAATTGTGTTTGGGTTCATTTTCTGTATTGCATGACATAACTTGGCTGATGATTGCTGCAGCTGCTCATTGCAGGTAGTGAAAGGAAGAAGTTCTGGTTTAGTTTCAGACACAGGTTACAATTTTGGGTCTGCCACTTACTAGCTAGATGTCTCTTGCCAAGCTAACCAAAGGAACCACTGTTTCACCAATCAGAAATCGAAGAGAATGATATTGACTTCATGGATTTATTGGGAGATATGTGTTAAACGGGCAATTAATGATTCACCACACAGGGTTCAAGAGGGTCACCAAAATGAGGAAGGGAAACCTCAGGTCACTTCAGCCACAGACCAGGTTGCATGTTTGCTGATTTCTGTCACAGAAAATAATTCTTAGGATCCATAAGTAAGGGCATAATGAGATTTATTGGTCAGAATTTAAAGCACATGTCCAAACAAAATAGTGTGTTGATCTTCAAAAGAGACAGGCACATAAGAGTCTGGAACTGGGACCATTTTTATGTGTTTTTGGTGACGAGAAACTGTGAAATGTGTGAATATCTAGAAAGTTTGGGCTTCATTAACTGCAGGAGGAAAGTCAGAGACCCTCCAAAGTAGAAAGATAGTGACACCTTCCAGGGTCAAAGGATAGCTTATTTTACAGGAGAAAGTCATGGGCCCACTCCATTAAATTTTTAAGGTAGGTGTTCTGTTTCAACAAAAACAAAAACAAACAAACAAACAAAATCTTTGAAATCTCTGAATCTGTTTTGCTTGAGGTTAGGTTTCTGCTCTTTACCTTAAAATCTAAGCTATTTATAGTATTTTTAAGGGATTTTGTGTGCAATAGGTCTGCAAGAAAAAAAGCATAAACAAGCTGAAAGAGTACAAATATAGGTAACTTTAGGTAACTTTATGTCCTGATGTTGCTGTCTTAAACTTTAAATTATGATTTTCCTTGTCTCCTTCCTACTTTATTTATTTTTTCCATTCTATCTCAAATGCATATTTGGTGGTTATAATTTTTTCTGATTAATATTATCAAGTCCCTAGCTAGCACAATCTTTGCAGTGGAGGAGACTATCAATCACATTAATTTCCTTTCTGATACAAACCTCAGTTCATTTTCCCTGAAGGGGAATGAACCAGGGTATTAAATGGCTTTATCCTAAGTGAGCAGTCCTCTGAGTAATATTTTCCAAACTGGGTATGTAATGCATTTTTCAAATTACATTTTCCTTGAGAATTTTTATGTTGGAGGAAGAGGGGAGAGAAATTCTTTGGTCAAACATTTGAGAAGTATTACATTCTGTATCTGCTTTTAAAGATTATCATTGTTCAATGCAATCTTGAGAGCATTGAAAAAATCTTACTCCAGAGACTTTAAAGGTTTTTAACAGGTATTTCTCAAATTATTTAACCATGAGGTTTCTTTGAGGATAAATTAGTATCTCATTAGAGTTCTACAGATCACAATGTGAGATGCTGAAACACAGTTTGTTAGGAAGTTATATATCAACAAAGAGAAGTTTGGTATAACAAAAACATAACACTAACCAGATGAGATACTGGAGTAAGATTCTCTGCACAGTTGAATTATATTAACAAGCAAGGCTTGGGACTTAGTAGATGAATATTGTCTTAGTTACTTATCTCTCTTGTTGTTGAGACAAAATACCTGACACCCAAAGTTAGGGAAGGGAAGGTTTATTTCTTACAGGTTGGAGGTTTCAGTCCTACTCAGTTGACTCCAAGGCAAAATGATGTGGTTGAGGGGCCTCTTCTTCCCACTGTTACACTGTATGTTGGCTCCACCCTTGGGAAGGTATATCACTCATACAACCAATCCAAGCACTAGACAACAAACCAATCACAAATACTAGATTTGACCTGGTCCATGATTGCATGAGGCTTGAGGGGGGGCACCATCTGAACATAAACCATAACATTCCACCCTTGACCCCCCAAAGATTCATGCACATCCTTTATACAAAAGACACTTGGTCCATCTTGAAGAGTTGCCAAAGTCCTCAGAGTTTCAGCATTGCTGAGAAGTCCAAGTCCCAGGTCTCCTCCAAAATCTAAGACAAACTCTTAGCTTCAAGCCCCTGTAGAAATGAAAACAGTTAAATACTTTCAAGGTACAAGAGCACAGATACACATTAACATTCCAATGAATACAGAGAGAGGGATACAAAGGAAAAGGACCAAAGGAAATCGAAAATCCAGCAGGGCAAATATTAGGTACTGGAGCTCCACACTCAAGATCTGAAGCAATCTGGTTATAAGCTCCAAAAGGCTTGGGTGACTTCACCCCCATGGCAATTCCAAGTATTTCAGCTCCCTCATCTTTTCTCTTAAACCCCCTCTGCTTGATCTTTGCAACTTTCCTCAGATGATCCATGTTCTTGGCTTTTGCAAACTTCTGGAGTCTCCACTGCATCTTTGGCTTCTTACTCACAGCTTTACATATTGCTGTCTTTGGGCACACTGCCTGGACCCCAAGCCTTCTGAGATTGGAGTGGAAGCTACCTGAACCTCAGAATTCATGCATTCTCCATTTGCTTAAAACCGGTGCCATGTGGATGCTGTGGAGCAGTGCCAGCTGGAGCAGTAGCCAGGCTTTCTTCTCTTGGCTGTAGAAGCCAAGTGCCTGGATTACTGAGCTCTCTGAATCAGATTGTGAGGATCAGCTTCGATATGTTGCCAACATTCTACAATCTGGTGTGGCTGCCACCATTTTGGAACATCCTGTGGCCTCTGATACTACTCTGGAACCTAGCTCTGCAGTTTTCTCCTCTGTGAAACTTCATTTTTGCAGTATTAAGGCTGCAAAGGGTGGAGACCCACTGCTTCCCAAAATACCCCCAGGCCATCTTTTTTTTTCTCTCTCTGTTCTTTCTCAGTAATTGAGGTCACAGTTCTATCTTTACAGTCCACAACTTGCTGGCCAAACTCATAACGTTTTAAATCACCCTGATGATGGCCTCTTTATTCTTGATTTGCAACATAAATCTGACTAAAAACTCCCCATAATAGTCATGCCACTACTGCAACATTTGACTGCCTTGAGATTTCTTTTGCCAGGTTAATCAGTCTGCCACCCTTAATCTTCCTCTAAGGCAAAGTCTCTGTACATGAGCAGAATACAGACAAACTTTCTGCCAATCCATAACACACATCATGTGGAGCCCAACAACCAAGGGAGACCTTCTGCTCAGCAGAAATCTCACAAGCCCAGTGTTTACTGGCAGACTTTCAATCAATCTTCTGGTCTTCAGAGCTTTGACCAGTATCTTCCATGCAAAACAGCCTAAGCTGTTCCAGTGCCATCCTTTTAAGCATCATCTCCAAACCTTTCCAAATTCTTCCTACAAGCTATTCCCAAAAGTTTTTGAACCACATGATCATGTACAGTCACAGCAATGACCCCACTTTTCTGGCACCAAATTTTGTCTTAGTTACTTTTCTCTCTCATTGTTGAGACAAAATATCTGCAGGCCAAAATTAGGAAAGGAAAGATTTATTTCTTACAAGTTAAAGGTTTCATTCGGTACTCAGTTGGCTCAATGGCAAATTGACATGGCTAAGGGGCAACAGTTCATGGCCACCCTTGTAGCAAAGCACAAACTGGGCAAAAAAGAAAGAAGATAACTCTTCTTTCCACTGTTCCACTGTATGTTGGTCCACCCCTGGGCAGGCATAACACTCATACCACCAATCTGAGCACAAGACAATGAACCAATCATAAACACTAGATTTGGTTGGGTCCATGATTACATGAGGTTTGTGAGTGCATCTGAACATAAACCATAACTAATACTGTCTTACTTGAAAGTTGACAAGACTATGCCCAAAGGTCCTTGTTGAAAACCTTGGTTTTACTTTATATGCAGGTCTTCCAATCTTAAATAGGTATTTATTTAATATCTAAATATTATTCTAAATGCTTACTTGTTTACATGAAATATTTACCTCAAATAGAAGACACTGGTGTTCATTTGTCCTAGTTCTACCTTCTGAGTATGTGCATGATTTGGGACATTACAGGAATTTTAAGACATTTAATTATTCAACACATATCTGTCACTTACTGTTTGACTGAATTGCTCTGCTTCACCAGCAATTTACAGAGCATTGTAGGTCAGGGAACACTTTACAGAGGAGAGTACTAAGGAGAATGGGTGGCAATTAATGTTCTGAAGCACACACACCTTGTTAGTAACAGAGTTGGGATTAGGATTCAGTTTGGCTCTGTAATCTGGGTTTTCTGTTACTCAATTTACTAAAGATGGTTGTATTCTCTGTGTCAGTATTTCCAATATGTGAGGTAGCTGCTGAGTTTCTAAAAAATAAATTTCTAGATCCTCCAAAAGCCCAAACCAGATAGTACTTCGATAGACAAAAGAAAGAGAGAATATAGTCTTACATATGTTTTAGTTACTTTTCTCATTGCTGAGACAAAAAACAAATAACAAAAAAACTGACACCCAAAGGCAAGTTATTTTTAGGCTTCCAGTTTGTAAAGGTTTTGGTCCATAGTTGGCTGATTACAAGCCAGGGTAGCATAGCAGGAGGGCATCACAGAGAAGAAACAGCCCACAGCAAAACAAGGGTGGCAAAGGGAGGCCATCAGTGAAGTAACAGTGCAGTTTTTTCCAGTCTCTTTGTACTCTATCCAGGCTACCAGCCTTTTGGGTGGTGCCATCTACACCCAGGAAAGAGCACCCCTAATTTCAGCATCACATCCTTACTCCCACCATTAGACATCCTAATTGAACCATCTTCAGAACTCCTCACCTATGACTACATGAGATTCTGAGGAGACAGCTAATACAAGCCGTAACACACACTTTCTATTTTTTTCTATGTGGAGGGTAAGGTATTTGAAAACCCCTTACTATAAATAGAGATTTAAGAATCTAAACATTTTCAACCTGAAAAAAACACAAGAGCAGTTCTAGATCTTTCATGATATTCATGAAATTCAGAGAAAGCAAGAATTTTTTCCCAGAGTCTAAGTCTTCAGAATGGTAAAGAAACATACTTTCTAGAAGATTAAGGAAACCATCTGTGTTAGGAAAGAGGCTTCAAGAAGCAGATGACAAGAGGGATTATACACCTGGGTGTTCATGGGAAAAATGCAAATGTGGGTAGAAAAAGGAAGAGAGCTAGGAAGGCTGGTAGAGCAGTCAAGACAATGAGATTCTGACACAGAATAAAGAAAAGAGCCTAGACTTTGGGTAGAAGTATTTTATACCGTCCAGTTGGAGGAAAGTGTTAGGGAAATCTTTTAGCTAAACTCATCTAACATGGGAGTTGTGTTTCTCAGAAACTAGACTGTCTTAATACCCCTTAGAAGAGCACAAACTTGGGTCTCCACAGTGCAGTGTCTGAGGCTTTGATCAATGGAACAGGAATAAGAAAGTGTTTCAGGAACATTTTTATGACTGCTAAGTCTCACAACTCCAGTGGTCCATTATTAAATCAATCTTTGTGAGAGTGTTAAGTGCTCTGATTGGCTGAGGCTATTCTCAGATCAATCACTTGGGCAAGGGGTGTGGGATTTCCCAGAGCCCCATTAAGTCTACTGTTTGGGTCAGATTCCCTGCAATCTATGGGCTACGGAGAGGAAAGGCTCATATCTAACAAAGAAGACATTTAGAAAAGAGAAAAAAATCTACCTGGAAGAAGCCATTCCATCTGGCAGCAATATCTATGCTTATTTTTCTGCAATATATTATCTCTTAAAATCTATCATGATCAAGGATTTGAGAAGTCATAGTTTTGGAAGTGGGAGAGTGGGAATCAAATTCTATGCCACTGAAGGCATCTTGTTATCTAGACATATGTATTGCCATCTCAGTTCTAAATCATTGCATAAGTTGTTGATGTACTGACAACAGTAGAAATATGATAATCATAAGTGATAATAATTACAGAACAAAACTTACATACTGACACTGTGCTGTATATCTATATACATTGAATGCACCAAAACCCTATTTAGATTATGTAGGACATTAAAGTCTTGAAGGGTTAAGAAAGTTTGCTGAGAACACAGGTAGGTAAATGACTGATTGCAAAATTGTAACATTTCTTTTTCCTTGCATTCTTACTATGACCATCTCTTCTCCAGCTCGCTTCAAAAAAGCTCTTTAGATTTATATTTAAGGACATATCTCTTCTAGGTGAGAATGAGAAAGGCTTGTGTTCTCTTAGGCACTGTATTGTGGCATTGCACCAACACTGACTTGAGATGACAAGGGAAGGCTCTTGAGACTGGCATGATGACAGCTGGAAAAGCAGATTGTCTTCAATGTCCAGTAATTGCAGGTGACCAAATATAGTGCAGAGCTTTGGAATTACAGCACTTGGCTGACCTTAAAGAGAACTGTTTAAAGTATCCATTTTGGTTGCTTAGTTACACACACACACACACACCCCAAGATCACACAGAGCTGGTACTTTAGGAAGCCAACAGAAAGACAGAAAAGCACTAAAATAATGAAGATCTTGGAAAGAATGACAATGGTGATCTTAATGAAAATAAGTTGGGGCTGGGGATTTAGCTCAGCGGCATAAGCGCCTGCCTTGAAAGCAGGCAATCGGAGTTCGATCCCTGGTACCGGTAAAAGGGAAAAAGACAAAAAAAAAAAAAAAAAAAAAAAAGAAAATAAGTTTATTGTACTAATCTTTACCATGGATATGTCCTTCTTAAGGAATACAAATTAACTGTGCAGATAAATGAAGGAGCAATTGTATACTGAAAAGCGTAATGAATTTACTGAGGATTCACCATAAAAGTCCCTCCCATATATATCATTAAAATGCATTTAAAATTTAATTCATTACATATAATACCATTTACTGTGTTTTCAAAGGCAAAACCATTGAATTAAGGGCTGTTTGTATGCATATTCTTTGAAGAAATACAATTCAGATAAGTTTGATAAAATCTAATTTCATCTATCTATACATAACATTTGTGAAGGTCTTAGTATTTGCAAGGCACTCTACTATTTTAATACATTGACTCCATAGATCTTGTCTGATGCTCAGATTCTGTAGTTCTAACAAGTTCCCACACAACACTGTGAGCAACAAGGTCTTCTAGAAACTCAAGCAAGAACTAAAAGTGAGAGCACATTGAGTCTCATGGCCCCAGACCACTGCACTGTGACCCTGAAGAGGATGCTCCTGCCAGCTAATGGGCAAGTCTACCCTACCAGGGGTATTATCATGAGCACTAGCTGCTATAGTCTCTTGGCTTCCACTGCTACCCCGGTCACTGGGTACTGCAGTAATCCTGTCCATATGCAAGAATTGATCTAGCCTTTTAACACCTGATTGGCCAAGCCAGGGTGGCACACCACCACTTTATTCCTTGGAGAGTAGGAAAAGTTAATAGGGCTCCTTTCTGCTTCTGTAGCAGAAGACAAGCCCTGCTTCCTTCCATGACTTATTGCAGGAGAAATTCCTCATACTAGGAAAAAGGATCACTGAACAGCTGAACAGCTAATAAATGTATACTATATGAAATACATACTTATATATAAAATATTACTTGCTGATATATCCCACCTCTATATGATCCGTCATACAAAGATAAAGTTTCCAGAAGCCTGGGAATCCACGTGACTTTAGCCTTGATTGCTCCACACTTATCCCCAGCTTCAGTGGGAGAAACAGCTCTTGCATGTTGCTTGTAGGTCTCTCCTGCCCCATTTCATTTTTTTCAGCATAAAACAATCCAATTTTGATTTGTCTTATTTTCCTATGAACTGAAAAGTTTTCTTATTTGAGGGTGTTTTTCTTTAGCTTTAGTTTATGAGGACCAATGAATTCCCAAGATGTTTAGTTCATTTTCATGATGGAATTTCCAGGGAAATTTCTCCAGTATTAAAAAATAAAAGTAAATCTTATGTTGTGGTTAACAAGAATGAGAAATGTCAAAGTATACCCTTGTTTGTTCCCCTTCTAAGATCACTACCTCCATCTATACTCTAAGGTGTATTTCATTAAAAAGTGACATTTATCATTCCAAAGTGAATTTGTTTACCTGTGATAACAGAAAAATGTCACAATTTGCTCCAAACAAAAGTGGATATAGGAAAAGGTAAATGATAATTTTTAGTGAAAATCATAATTTGAAAATAATGCCTTCCTTAAGTATACAATACCAAAAATGGCATGAGAATTCAAATAAAACACATTTCTGTTAAATAAGCCCCACAGTAGAATGTGTGTTTAGCATATGCCTAGACTTGGGTTCAGTCCCCAGCACCACAAAAATAAATGAATTCTTTTTTATCGGTACCAGGGATCGAACTCACGACTGCCTGCTTGCAAGGCAGGCACTTATGCTGCTGAGCTAAACCCCCAGTCCCAAATAAATAAATTCTAATATCTTGTGAGAAGACCTTAGAATAAATGCTCATAGAAACGCTGCCACAAAGACTTCACTTCCGTGGTCTGTCTTCCATTACTAGTCAGTGAAGGCAGGAAGGATGCATACATTTCTTACCTGGGAAGTGGAGACTGGAAATTTACACTGTGAGATTAGGCATGGAAAAGAAATCCAGACAATTGGTCATTTGATTGACTTTCCCATTTTTTAACCAGGTGTAGGCACAAACCATCAATAAAAGGATCCCAGTGGTAGAGTAGGCAGAATTCTTAGAAGCTGATCCAGACTAAGCATCATCTCACAGCACAGAGAAGGTATGTTTCCTCTTGGTCCTAGAAAAACAAGAAATATTCAACTTAATTTAAAAACTAAATACAATTAATTTCAGTAGTTACTTCACAAATGTAGCAAGTTGGAAATGTATTGGATGGAGCCCAGTCTAGAACCTGATTTTAATTCTGTTCCTGATATTTTTCCCTTATATAGGAATGAAAAGGGTTAGAGTAAACAGTAGTACTGTGTTTTCCTTTATCATCATGTAAGCCTAAAGACTAAACTAAGCCTCCCTACAATATTATCTGATAGTAAGATTAGGAAAAGACTTTAGAGATAGGAGAAGTAGAAAAAAAAAACCTTTAATAAATTCTTGGAAGAAAATGGGAAATATGGAGAAGTCTTCAGTAGGTAGTTAATAAGAGGAAATCTAGTGAAAATAACTTGATGCTATTCCCACGATTGCCTGGGGCTATGAACAGAGGGAGAGACTTTGACATAATCATTAGCTGATTCATTCTCAGCAGCTAATATAGGTTTCTTGAGTAGATTTACTCTGATGAGATAGTTAAACCCACCAGGAAGGGAAATAATTTCCTGGTTATTAGTGAAGATAGCCAAAAGTGTCACTTTATGTGCAATTGAAGGATCCAGTTTCTCTACCCTTCATCTGTATGGTCTTCCTTTTGAAAGACCAAGAATCACCACATTTAAATCCATAGAATATGATTCAGAGCTGGGGAAGAGGCAAGAAATCAGAAAATAGATGGTAGCCATTATCATGGAAATGTCTGAAAAGAGGTGCTTTCTTTTTTGCTTTTCTATAAACTATTTTCCATATGTTGAAAAAAGATAAATAGAAAGGTTGGCTTTTAAGAAAATGGATTATTTGTAAAATTTCTGGTGATTGAATGTTACACAGATCTGGAAGGATTTACTTACACAGTTTTTGGATTTTCTTTTTTGGCTTTAGCTATGAAAGGGAATATGCAGAAAGGAATTTTATTCTGCTTTGACATAACATTCACATAACACTACTGTGTACCAATCTTTCACACACAGAATTTAACATAAAACCCTGTGAGATTAATGTTACAGCCTTCTTTTGGATATAAATACTATTGCAATATGAGTTACTGCAGGGTTACTTCAGGGTCAGAATCAGGTCTTCTTGCTTTGAGTCAAATATGGTTGGATATGCTGTATGTCTTCTGGGATCATCAGCTTCTGAAGACAACTTGGCTGTGAGGGAGAATAGATTTAGCTCAACTGCAGATAAAGACATCAACCAGCAAAAGCCTAGAAAGAGAGGCTATCTACTCCTCAGACATCATTGAATAATGGGAACATGAACTGTGCAATCGTCCGTGCTGGAATAATATTATACAATTTATAGCCAATGGGTTGCATACATGATAAAAATGATTGTGTGTGCATCTTTCTTGAAAAGAGTATGACAAATTTTGCAGATATGTTGATCAAAAGAATGAATCTTCAGAAGCATAAGAAGTTGAAATGCTTGTTATTTAAGCTGGTGTCTTATTTCCTGCAAAATGATTTTGAATTAATTAATCAGATTGATCCTGTAATTCAGATAAATTCAACTTACTCAGATTTACTTTTGAGGACTAATACAATGGCGAATGATCAAAAACAGCAAGTCTTGAGCTTAGTGACCTGTGAAAAGGAGAATTTGGGGGGTGAAAGAGCATACCTACTTTTGTGTAATTTATCAAAAATACCAAAAACTAGCACAAGCCAATAATTTTCTTTTCTTTTAGGATATAAATCTTGAATTGTTTGCTAACCACTAAAGTCAGTTAAAAACAGCTGTTTATTTAAAAAAGATACCAAAGTCAGCTAAAAGCAATTATTTATTTATTTTTAATTTTTAATTTTTATTTTAAAGAGGGTAAAATTAAAACAGAACAAAACAGATCATAAGGAAATAATTTTAAGAAACAGATTTCAAAGCAAGACCACTAGAGATTTTCACTGTCTATCATATTGTCTCCTGTTTTCTTCCAAGCAGTTGTCCACATCTTCACACACAGTGAATACATAGTGAACACTACAGTACTAAACTAATCAGAACAGGATGACAACAGCTTTTTAGATCTTCAAGACCAGACAATAGGGAAGTCAACAATGGCTGCCATCATGTCTCTCGTTCTCTTTGAAATTAAACGTGAGACTAGACAAATATCACTCTAAACAGTGAATAATAGTATTGCTAGATTTTATATCATAATGCTACATAATTAGCACTGGGTATCTTAGTATCTCTTCTTCAGAGTACCTGTTCATTACATCATGCATTATATAATCTGTTCCCATAAACTGTTTAGAAATTCTACACGTGTGAATCTCTACATGTATACCTATCATTTCTGTATTATAGCAAAAAACAGATCAAAACAAGACAAAAAAACAAATTCCTAGGAAAACATGAAATGAAAAAGATATATAAAAAACTACAATACTAGTATATAAAACCACAATACTAGATGATCTACAGTAGTTACTTGCTGTCTCTTGTTATTTTCAATAGAATTGTCTACATCATCAGACATAATATAATTGAAGATAACATTACATAGCTATTTTAATAAAAACGCAACATTGGAGACATTGTAAGACTTCAAAAGTAGTTAATAATCAAGCCAGAATGGATACCTTATTACATCTTGTCATCTTCAGAGTAGTTGCCTCTACTCTTAGACTTGATATTATCAATCATACCAAATTTGAATAAAATCAGTCAAGACAAAATAGCAGTCTAACAAACCAGATTCAAATAAGATCAGTCATAGTAAGACAATGTAAGTAATACAGGGCTTCAGTTTAAATTAATACAAAATTAAGGATAGTTACCCTAGTACATCCTGCTATTTTGGGGATAGCTATCTGTGCCCTCAAATCTACTATGAGTAGACAAACTAGAACAAAATAAAATCGAACTAAACAGAGCGATAAGACTATTGTGGCTTTTAAATCCTGATACACTATTAACAATGTCCTCTGCCTTCCTTTTTTCGACAATTCGTTCCCTTTCCCTATATTTTTAGTCCTATTGACCCTTTTAGTTTTTAGATTAGGGGGGCAACCCGCTATCTATCTAAGTGGGGTTGAACCTTTTTATGCCTGAGCTTGATCTGGAGCTGTATTCCTTTATTTACTAAACCTCAAGGTCCTCCTTCCTTATAGCTGAGTAGTTCTCCACTGCACAAAAATGTCATGACTTTCCGACCTATCTGCAGCTGCTGGATGAGTTGTCTCTTATTTCTCTCTGATTCCCTGACACATAGAGCATCATTTTCTCATCTTTGACTTTCAGTTTATTAACCCTCTTTCAGGTTGATTATATTTCCTATTCAGAGCATCTCGATGGATCCTATCTCCTGATCTCCTCTGCCTGTGTTTCTTTTTGTTAGTGTATCAGGGTTATCTATATTAGAGATTATAGCCCACCTTCTCTGCCTCATCTCTGCTAGTCTATTTTTCTGCTATTATTTGTCCACTTTTCTTCTTCATTCCACTGTCTGCCCCATTCATTGAGGCCTCTCTGTCATTGTTGCTATTTTTTGGTATTTTGTCATTGTTGGTATTTTTTTCTATCTCTCTCTAGAATGTCCTTCAGTATTTTTTGTAGAGTTGGATTGGTGGTCATGAACTCCCACAGTTCCTCCTTGTCATGGAAACTTCTTGTTTCTCCATTTATTTTAAGAGAGAGTTTTTCAGGGTACATCAATCTGGATTGGAGGTTATTTTCTTTCAGGGCTTAGACTACTTCACTCCAAGCTCTTCTTGCTTTGATAGTTTGTGTTGAGAATTCTGTTGTTATCTTGAATTGATTTTCCTTTATAGAAAATCTGTTTCTTTTCTCTGACTGCTTTCAATATTCTGTTCTTGTGGTGAATTTCTGGGATCTTGATTATTACATGTCTGAGTGTAGATCTGTTTTGGTCACAGTTGGTTGGAGTTCTGTATGCTTCATTTATCTGGATGTCATTTCTTTTTCCCATGCTTGGGAAGTTTTACTCAATTATTTCTGTGAATAGCCTTTGTAATTCATTTGTGGTTACTCCTGCTTCTTTGCTCATGTTTTTTATTCTTAAGTTATAGATCCTCTTGTTGTCTTCTAGCCTTTGTATTGTTACTTCCTGGTTCCTCGCTATTTTTAAGAGGTCTTTTCTTTCACAATCACACATTGCAAATCTATCTTCAAATTTTGAAAGGCTAACTTTAGTTTCTGTCAAGGCATTTTGCCAGCTTTCAATGGAGTTTTTAATTTCCTGATAATCTCTTTGGATCTGTTTCATGTATTCTAGATTTTGTTTATATTCTTCACCAAAGCTTTCTCTTCTTTTTCTGGGTTCCTCAATTCTTCCATCTGTGTCTTCTTGAGAGGGGTTTAGCATTTCTTTTATTAATCTTTTTATATCTTGCCACACTTGGATTAGAATTTCAGTTTTAAGTTCGTCTATGAAATCATGAAGGTATTTCTTTATGTCTGCTGATGTTATGGCCGATATTGCATGATTGCTGCACTGGTTCTCTTCTGTATTTACCTCTCCTGGACTTATTTTCCCAGGGTCAGCAGCTGGAGGCTTTTTCTTATTTCTTTCTCTTGTCAAGTTTCTGGTTTCTTTCAGATAGGTGTATGGTGGAGGTCTCAGGCCCTCTCCATATTGCTTATGTTTTTCTAAAGCGTGCTGACTGGGGACCTGCTGCCTTCTCCAGTTGACTGTTATCTGAGGTGCATGCAGGGAGGATGTGGGCTGGCCCCTCTTCTCTGAGCCAGTCAACCGGCAGTGCCTTCAGCACATTAGGCTGTGCTTTGCAGAGATCACAGGGTCGGGACAGTTTCATCCCTGGCTATTGGATTCCGACTGGGGGCATGACCCAGCCCAAGCAGGTCCCACCAGTCCTCTCTGGGGCCAGGGTGGCTGACTGATGCCACTGCAGTTCCAGGTTCAGGCTCATCCTGCTCAGCTCCAATATGTCCTCCAGCTGGCCACATCCACTGGGGGACCCAATTTCCAGCACTCACTGCGAATTAATGCAGCTCTCTATCTTGGCTCCACTCTATGCTGCACTGCGTCCTCCCACCAAAGGCCCCGGACTCACCAACTGTTATTATCGGCTGCGGCTTCAGTGCCACCATGAATTGTTTGACTCCACAGAGCACCTAGCACAGCACAGGACTGGTCCCAGTGAACGTATCTGGTTCCAGCCTTTCATCCACATTTTTCCTTCCTTTCTTTCTTTTTTTTCCCCCTCATTTTCCTCCTGGGTCGTGAGAATTCCTCCCCTTTCATCTGGTCTTCTCCATGTTGTTAAATTCTAGCATCTGAGTTGTTTTTCTCAGAGAGGCTCTCTACCCTGCTAACTATGAAGCCGCCATCTTCAAAACTCTAAAAACAATTATTTATTTAAAAAATTGTTTCCTATAGCTTTATGCACTGTCAAGAAATAGGAAACTCCCTTTCTGATAAATCAAAGTCATCAAGTAAAGAATTCAGAATTGAGCAAGGCTGTCAGAGAGATTCTTGTGAGGCTCCGAAAGCCTTCCTATCCATAGAATTAAGTTGCAGGTTAGCTGACTCAAGTCTTGAGGAAAAATAATTTTCAGGAGGTATCAGTAAGCGACACAAAGGGATTCATTAGGTAGAAATTTAAAGTGCAAATTCAAAGAAATAAAAAGCAGATCCTAGAGAGAGGTGTATGTTATGATCTGGAGTTGAGATATGCTACCCACTAATATTCTCTCCCTCGTGAAAGGAGGAATCTTAATTTATAAGTGGAAAGAGATAGTTTTGTTTACAGGTGAATAAGGCTAATTTTGATGTGAAGGCAAACTGCCCAGGTTTCTTATTTCGTGGGAGAAGAAAGAAGAAAACTTAAACTGAGCTTGAGGGAATTTTGTGTGCTGAAGCTGGCATTTTTCTTAAAAGTACAATTTCAAAATTCTGGTGTTATTTTATCTCCTTTCTACCTACCATGATTTCTTCTATCGCACTTTAGGAACAGAAGTATCGGAAGGCACTTTCTCATTTGTAGGATATTTCAGACTGTAGATGAGAGTTGGGCTTAAGAAAAGACCACTATGAGTGATAGGTAGTTGTCTTGCAATTTGGTGAAAAAAGGCCTAACAAATTTATAATTATGAAACATTATAAATAAGCATCAATCACAGGATAAGTAAAAAATGTTACATGTCAATGCAGTGGAGACTAAATCGTTATAAAATACCATCAAGAATATCAGGGACTTTACCTTATTCATTGTCTCCATATCATATCACATATGCATTGTACTCTTATCCAGAAGACAAAGAAATTGAGAGTAACCGCAGAGCTATATTATTGGCATAGGAAAATACCCAAATATATCGCTGACTGGAAGGGTAGTTTCTAAGACATCATGAAGAATTACATCTACAGGTGCATATTCATAGAGCTCTGTCTCCAAGGATACTCAGCAACATGTAAATGGTGCCTATTTTCAGAGGGTAGGATTTCAAGGGAGTCTACTCATTATTTGTGCTTTTCTGAAAAATAATTTGAATTTTATAATGAGTCTATCATTTATGTTAAGAAGAAAGAAAACTGGAAAGCATTTTAAAAAGCAAAGAATAATACTGTAATTGTTGAAACCAGGCATGGTGGTGCATGCTTGTAATCCTAGTACTGAGCAGGCTGAAGCAGGAGAAACGTCCCCAGGTTCAAGTCTGAGTTACAC